TTAATGCTAGTGATAAGACAGGTATAACTTTATATTGCAGCTGAGAAAAGATATTTTACAGATTGGTGAACATCTTTTAGAACATGGAGTTTAATTGGAGAGTTTTAATTCTACATACATCTCTTCCTTTTCAGGTGTTACACCACTGTGTCTCGCTATTGAAAGTGGACGTGTAAGTGATGTTCAGATGCTTTTGGACAGAGGTGCTAACGTTAATGCTGAAACTTTGAGTGATAATTCTCCGCTTTGCGATGCGATTATATATGATGAAATAGAAATTGCTGAATTACTTTTAGATCATGGAGCTAACGTTAATGCTAGAGATAAGATAGGTATAACTTTATATTGCAGCTGAGAAAAGATATTTTACAGATTGATGAACATCTTTTAGAACATGGAGTTTAATTGGAGAGTTTTAATTCTACATACATCTCTTCCTTTTCAGGTGATACACCACTGCGTTTTGCTGTTGACTATGGACATGTAAGTGGTGTTCAGATGCTTTTGGACAGAGGGGCTGACGTTAATGCTGAAACTCGGTTTGGCACTACTCTGCTCCGCGATGCGATCAATTATGGGGAAATGGAAATTGCTGATTTACTTTTAAATCATGAACCTTTCCTTAACGGCAGTGATAAGTCAGGTATAACTCTATATTGCAACTGAGAAAGGATCAATCTGTAATGTACAGATTGATGAATATCTTAAAACATAGAGTTTATATTACTTCTACTTATATCTATTCCTTTACACCAAATGTTACACCACTGCTCCTTGCTGTTAAAAACGGACATGAAAAATTTGTAGGCACGATTTGTTGTGACAGACGTGCTAACGTTATTGCTAAAACTCGATATAGCACAACTTTGCTTCCTAATGCTATTGAAAATAGGGAAGTGAAAATTCCTGAATTACTTTTAAATCATGGAGCTAACGTTAACGCCAACGGTATAACTTCTTTTCATATTGCAGCTGAGAAAGGATACAAATTGATGAACATCTTTTAAAACATGGAGTTTAACCCACAAATGGTACACTGGTGCAAATTCGCACTACGGAAAAAATGAGATTATGTATACAAATGGTTTACTTTTTACAATATAAAAAAGAAAGATATTATAACTTAATCTACAAAACGCTCGCATTCAGTACATAGTGCTGAGCGATGATTAACGCACATTCTGCGCAAGCAATTTGAACATCTCAGACGTGTCTTACACTAGTGCACCACTTGAAGGTTAATTGGAGGGTTAATTCTACATATATCTCTTTTTTTTCAGATATTACATTACTGTGGTTTGCTATTCACAGAGGACATGTAAATGGTGTTAAAATTCTTTTGGACAGAGGTGCTAACGTTAATGCTGAAACTCTGGATGACACATCTCCGCTTCACGATGCGATTAAATATGAGAAAATAGAAATTGCTGAATTACTTTTAAATCGTGGAGCTAACGTTAATGCCAGTGATAAGTCAGGTATAACTTTATATTGCAGCTGAGAAAGGATATTTACAGATTAAGGATCATTTTTTAAAACATGGAGTGTACATTAATTTTACATATATCTATTCTTTTACACCAGGTGTTACACCACTACAAGTTGCTATTCAAAGAGGACATGTAGATGGTGTTAAGATGCTGTTGGACAGAGGTGCTAACGTTAATGCTGAAACTCTGGATGGCAAAACTCCGCTTCATAATGCGATTGAATATGATAAAATAGAAATTGCTGAATTACTTTTAAATCGTGGAGCTAACGTTAATGCCAGTGATAAGTCAGGTATAACTTTTTTTATATTGCAGCTGAGAAAAGATATTTACAGATTGATGAACGTCTTTTTGAACATTAAGTTTAATTGGAGAAGTAATTCTACATACATCTCTTCCTTTTCAGGTATTTCACCACTGTGTCTTGCTGTTCAAAAAAGACATGTAGATGGTGTTAAGATGCTCATGGACAGAGGTGCTAACGTTAATGCTAA